ATCCCACAAGAATTTGCAAAATATCACGAGAGTTTGTAACGGTATATTTGACTTTTACCAGATTTTGAAAGTAAAATAGATCGATACCGCGTTTTTAAAAATCAATTTGATATCAGCATATGAAAATATTTTTGAGTATATTATTTTTCAAAGTGTCAGAAATGGATAACAAAACTTCTATTTTCAAGGACTACTTATTTTTGTCCTCTTCAACATCGGTATCGATATCGGTTATCGGCTACATGAGTTTTAAAATATCGGCATATCGGATATCGGCCAAAATCCTGATATCGTCCATCCCTACCGAATAATAAGGTAAATACCTGTTTGATTCTGAAGGAATAATTTGAAAAATAAAAATAACAAAAAACAAATAGACAAAAAAAATAATAATAAAAACCTACAATTGTAATTTCAGGCTTTTGGCATGTTTGTGCCCCATCCCACTACCAACAATCTGGTTTCACTTTCAGCCACCGACCACTGCGGTATGAAGGAAACCCTCTCCCTCCAGATAATGCCTAACTTCAAAAACATTCCATATATAAACTGTTTTAATCTGTGAAGGAAAACAAAATGACATCCAGTCACATAAATGTATCTAATAAAAACAAGCAATAAAACAAAAAGCAGCGTACATACCTACATGAAGCCAGTGTGCACATAAGAGTCTGAAAGCACAGTAATCTGTTAAAACCTGCGTGTTTTGATGTGGCGAATGAAAAAGCTGATGCTGGAGTGTGTGAATGTGAGTCACCTGTCATGGAGGGCGATTGCTCACCGTATTCAGACGGCAGCAATAGGTAAACATACCGTCTCAACGGTCATTTTATGACCAGCGACTAGTCCGGAGTCCTTGACATGTCACATACATTCATGTGTGAAATCCAAACCTTTCATTTATTTGCTGTTAAAGTCATGTTACTGCTTATTTTTTCTCATTATGAAACCATTTATTCATCTAAATGCAGCCTTCCTTAAAAAAACAAAAAACAAAAATACAAGCTGTTTATTTTAAGAGCAAACTTCCACCGCACTTCTGAGAAATGATGCGTCACAGACGCAAAAAAGAAGAACTACACAGAAACCAAGTCCAGCATTTCACAGGTTGAGTCTGAGAAACATGAATGTAGTCAAGGAGCGGAGGGATCTGCCTGCGTTTCTGTTAGCGCTGAGCTAAATCATTTACAGTGGCGCAGTGACAAACGCCCAAGCAGCAGACGGGAAACGGTGACACCACATCAGGAAGTGAGTGACAAATAGTCACCAGGGAATATTTCCTAACTGGTCATTCATAAATAAGAAAACTTGCTAAAAATCAAAGGCTTTTCTTTTCCGTTTTCCTTTCCTCTCTAATGGTTTACTCCATCTTACCTCCAATCATCACAATAAATACATCATTCAAGATGCACATCCCAATGCATCAGAGGTGTCAAGTAACATAGTACAAATACTTTGTTATTGTAGTTAAGTACACTTTTTTAGGCATCTATACTTTACTCCATTCTGACTTCTACTCATTACATTTTCACATTAGTATCTGTACTTTCTATTTCTTACATTTTTAAAACAAACGTTACTCTTTACTCTTGGCTGCGGTTTAATATTTATAAATATTTATTTCCCGTCATGTGCGCCATCCGATGCAGATCATTGGCTCCACCCACATCTAGTGAAAACTAGTGTGATCAGATGAGTCATAGAACACAAAAAAACTCATTAGTTAGCTAAAGGAAATGATCAGAAGCAAGCAGGTGTTCTTCAAACTGCTAACGTGAATTGTCTATGCTATGCTACAATGTGGGATTCACGAAAAGATGAAATGTCTGAAAGGTCGGACACAGGCGAGAGCGTATCGGGAGACGGAGACCAACAAGACCTCCCTCATCCTTGGTCCTATCTCAGGGAACTTTTTGAAATAGTTGAAAAAATTGAGCTTTTAATTCATATAGTGGCATCTGGCTGCTTTTTTAAAGGTTACTTTATAGATTTATTCTTTAAGTAGTTTTTGGAGAACATACTTTTTCACTTTTACTTGAGTAAAGAGGTACTTCAACTTTTACCAGAGTGCTTTTAAACTGCAGTATCTATACTTCTCCTTAAGTAACAAATGTGTGAACTTTTGACACCACTGCTATGCGTGTCTTGAAGGGGTCATAGATTAGTAACGATAGTTCAGTGGGTGAAACGGACGTGCAGAGAAGTTCAAACCCCATCGACCAACAGTCTGCTGAACTCCTTTGTTCCTAAAGCCATCAAGCTGTACAACTCCTCACTTGGGGGAAGGAGGAGGTGATAGAAAGAGGGACAATCTTATGCAAAACATTACCTATTGTCACTTATAGGGGTGTAAATAATAATCGTTTTGTATCGATGCATCGATCCAACAGCCGACGATCTGATGCATTGATACGTCCGCAATTGTATCGATTAATTTATTTTTTTTCCTCCGGTCTATTTTTATCCATTTGCTCCCGGACGTAATTCTCCCCCCCGTGCTGCGGTGGCGCTAAACCTATTTTGCCCTCCTACCTCACCTCCTGGTTATACTCTTACAGCAGTGTGTTGCAGTGAGCTTGACACAGACATTTTTGATTTATGCTCAATATATGAGGGTCTAGATACGGCCGAGGCGGCGAGGAAGTGGGGGCGAGTTTAGGTCAACGACGGAGGGACATGAGGGCCAAAAAG